AGCTATTGCTTGAAAATTTGTTTTTAAACTCATCTGAGTTTGTGGAACATCATTCCTGACCAAGATGGACGTGCCACCTGACCCCCCAAAGACCAGTGTCATTTATATAATTGTATTGCTGGTACTCTCTAATATTTATTTTATCATGCCTCTTAAGAAAGGTTTCCTGAAAGCAAATAACTGCCGGATTCAGGTCTGTTATCAAAAGAAGCAGCTCGTTAATGTTTGCCTTCACTCCACGGCAGTTCCATTGTATTATTTTCTACATGCTTATGGCTTATTAGTGTTTAATTTTTAATTTAGAAGTTTTAGCCGTTTGAGGGTTTTGGCTATCTACTTCCATCTCTTTCAAACTTATCGAAACAATTTTCAGTAGGTACTTGGGCTTTATGAACTTCCAACTTTTGCTTGGTAGTTTCCATTCACTTTTGAGTGGCATTTAATCTAGTGTTTAGGATCTTAACTCTAGGTGGACGTATAGGCGATCTCTGTGGCCTTTGTTCTGCAGATGGCTTAACATTTTTGGAAGGAGGGGGTCTGAGTTTGAGATGATGTTATACTCTTCTTGGCCATTTCCTTTTCCTTTTTTTCCTTTTCCTTTTCCTGGTTTAGCCTGTCCCAATTCTTTGTAATATTTTTCTTTCAAATTTTTCTGAAAGTTGGGCTAATCATTCGGCCTCAGTGTACAAGTCTCTCAATAAGCTCCCTATATTTATCATTCTGATTAGAGTTATTTGACCCTGCCCTATCCACTATTCTTGCGTAGGAAGGGACCCTCATGTACACTTCAACTACTTTTCTGCTTCTGTAAAAGGATATATTTCTTTTATATTTCACTTCTATAATTTCTTTTTCTTTCTTCCAGTACTCACAAGTCCGAGAGTAAGCCGGATGATTTTTCTGACAATTTGCGTATTTAATTTCATCCTGGTACTCATCTTCACTATAATCAGAGTTTTTTTACCACATTTTTGCGCACGTAGGGCGACTCCTACGACTATCTCTGTGATGTCCAAATTTTTGACATCTAAAACATCTCAGAGGAGCAGGGATATATAGCTCCACTGGCTCTACATTGTAGCCTATTTTGATTTTTGATGGTATCTTAGACAAATTGAACGTAAGAATGTATGTATCCGTAAATAATTTTTCACCATTTCTTTTGATGGAGATTCTTCTTTAATCAGAGAACTCCCTGGCTGCCCAAGACAGATGAAATTTCTTCTGGGTGGCCAAAGAGAGTTCTTTACTTCTAATCACTCCCCTTGATGTATTCTGTTGTAGATTCCGGGGATGGAATCCTGCACAAATAAATAAACAACGCCAGTAATTTAAATAGAAAAAATATGTGTATTAAACGTAAGAATACAAACTTGAAATGAAGATTAGTAGTCCAGGAATGGGGGTTAATAGAAAAGTATATGTACAAGTCTCTGTAAGTGAAGCCGTAATTATCTCTCTTTCCGGACTCTCGTAGAACTCTGAGTGAACACCCTGACTCGACGTTTTTCTCACGCTATCTCTCCGTAGTATAAGTATACTTTAGACGAGTCCATCTTGTGTACAAGGGGCGAGCCCCACAATATATTCAAACTTGTGTGTGGGAAAGTTTTAATACTAACATTTTGAAAGAGGTTCATTTTCATTATAGATTCCCCATGTTTTCTTGTTTCAACCTCCACCGTTAAATTGCAGTCTCTCATCTTTCTAACTGATTTAATTTAATCCGACTGGATAAAACTTTCTCAATCAAGAAAGAAGACAGTTTCAACGAGGGAGTTTTGTCCAAAGACTCAACCACAAAAATCTCGGGAAGTCCATATTATTTTCCATCTGAGTCTGAAAGCTATCTTTTCAGTTTTTTATTTTGATTCATAATTTATATGAATTAAATTTCACTGCCTGTGCTCGCCACCCACCTCGGAGTCCAACATTGGGACATATTAAGGGGAAAACACAATCACCTTGACAAGTCAGGGGTACAGAAACCCGTATACTCGTATTCGTGAGAGACCTGGAGCACCTGTCACCACATTTGTTGCACTACCCAAATTTTCAGTGAACAAATTAACAGCTATGTCCACGCATAAATATCTCTACGAACCGATTGACCCCTAAGTCAGCGCTTTCTAACGCCTATACATCAGGTTTGGTTGTTTTTCATGCAATAGGTAAGGTTTCCCTTAAGTACTCACTTTGGTATTGTTATAGACAAAAGGGCTTGTTCTGACCAGCCTATTGATCGGATCGAGCCTCTCCGACCGCCTGTTTAGTTCAGATAAGGGCCAAAGTGGTGTTTTGTGCATCAGAAGTACCTAGCCTTGACCACTGAAAACCTCAACCACCAGGATCCCGTTCCCAGACATCACGGGTTGCCACCCACGGCAAACAGGTGGCCCCATTGGTGGGGCAGAGGTGCAGTCGGCGTATTTTGAAGCTTCAGCCAACATGGCGGCAGCCTGTCCATATTGGGCAAAAAGGCCCCCAAATTGTCCTCAGATATGCCCAAGGGCACACATGCAACGTAATTCTAGTCTTGCAGGTGTCCAAGTATTCCGTTTGAAACCTCACCGATTTTGTAGTGAGTATACTTCCAGCAAGAATTCTGGCTTCGTCCTCCGTTGCTAGCAGGATAACCCACATGGTGTTTGACCTCTTAGCCAGAACTTTTGGGGGTTTATTGAGACCTATAAGAGTCTTCTCCATTATTTTCCGGCTGAAGCCGATCAATTTCCGAGATTTGACGTCTGAGGTCAGCGGAGAGATTGTTCTAGTCGCAACTGCTTCCAGAACAGACGGTATAGACAGTAGTTCATTACCGACAATAAACTCTTTATATTTTTCTTTTAGGGCCTCGTAATATTCCATCCCATTCTGTACTTTATCTGTAATCCATGCGGTTAGCGTGGACTTATCTGGGTTGTGGGAAGACGCCCCCATAATGTTGGAGAGGAGAGCTCCCACGCCAAACTACATCCACAAACAGATTAAAAAACAATGCAGATAGCAAAAACAATATTTGCCAAAAACTACCAAAAAACAGAAAAAAATCGTCACTTACTTTCATTAAAAAAAATCATCTTTCAAAAAATAACCAACATGCCGCCTAGTTTTCGAAATATATTCCAGTAAGCTTTGGTATTTACCCGAGCTGCCCATAAAGCAGGATTTGGCAGAATGCCGGTTTTATAACGTGGAGCTTTCCGAGTGCGTATGCTCGGGCAAAAATTCCCCGTAGACCCCGCATAGACGGGGTCGAGTGGCTGTCTACTTTCCCTCAGACGAGACCCTGTTCGTAGGCATAGTCTCGTCTGAGTTCCTCTCCGTCCGAAAGCAGAGAGTCCGACAAGTTGAGCTTTAATATTTGATTTATTGTAAGATTACAATAATTCTGGCCCAAGGTCAAAAGGGGAAGTGGGTTGAGGCTGGTCATCATTAACTATCTTATACCTAGCTAATCCGATTCGCGACTCATTAATTCATTACATTAAGTAACACATTCACCACAAGAAGTCGTTATTTATTGTGTGTAAAATACAAAAATTGTGACACAAGGTCTAAAACGGGGAATGGGTTTAGGCTGCTCGACATTATACCTAGCTAATCAGATTCACGACCTATTCGTTCATTACAATATTTACACACATTCACCACAAGAAATCATACTTCACATTTCACTCAACAATACCACAATAAACTAAGCTTTAAGTTTAATATAGTGATTTCCAAACGTAGCTTAGATGTGGCACAAGGCCGAAAGTATGGGGCACCCAGTGAAGATCGAGCTCACTATTCAGTCGTAAGTGATCTAGCAAAACAAGCATGCTAACCATTACACCGTTTCGAGGTGCCCTGAGCTTTACCTTGCATATCAGCAGTTCCCCTGAATATGTGTTCATGAGTCCTGAACTTCAGGACAGATCCATTAATGGGGGAAATGGTTCATACCACAGTGATGTAGATTTTTGATTTATGTCTGGCATTTTCTGACGCTGAAACTGATTTATGACTCTTGCCTTGTAATTACGACCTCTGACATGATTTTTTTTAACTGAACCTCCAAATTGCTATTTACCTAACAAAAAATGCTTTATGTATCCCACACTAAAAAAATCTAAATATGGCAGAAAAGCAATTAAACAAACGATCGAGAAAATCAGGTGGGGAAAAAATAAAATAAAAAAAGACCAAAATGGAATCAGTCACCTGTAAATATATATTTTTTAAAACTGATTGACATCATGACTAGATTTTAAGCGGACAGGACGTGCTATCGCATGTTTGTGTAGAGAGAAATGGCTACTAACAGTTAAAAGCTTGCATATGCAAAACTAAATTTCTAGCGCTTTTGTTCAGTCTCGTTTTCAAAAAAAGAGGTCGTTGGCACACATTGGTTATTTAAAACGAAAAAATAAATGAGACTATTAAGTAAGTTTATTAATAAACATTTCGCATACGTTTTTATCAGTTTTGTTAAAATTAAGAGTTTTACTTTTAATTAATTTAAGTACCTGTATGTACTTACTTAAGAAATTTCTTTACTGAGTAATCTCCCTCACCTGTTAACTACTTCCTGCTACATAAAGAGGACACGCCTGTCACAGCAAACTTGCTACTATAATATCTGCTGTGTAAAAGTGGGTGAAAAGCACACAACAACGAAAATCCAACGTTATGAAAGTGTAGTAAGTTTAAAATACTGTTTTGTTTAAGTCAACGCTATTGAGATGAACTAAAAAAAAGTGAATACTACCGAAAACTAGTCATTTATGACTATATTTCCGCTCACAATAAGGACTTCTACTCATTTTTGTGTAGGCACTTTTTTTTTATGAATAACGAGAAAATAATTCAAAATGTATATGTATCCCCAAACAGCTGCGTGTAATTTTCTATTAATGTTTCCCATTTTGGTTATGGCTTTTCTTTTAACCAGGAACAGCCATCTAACCCATGCAAAGCCCTTTGAATTGACTGGAAAAGATAACTTTGATTTGATAATGGAAAAATTTATGTCAGTGACGCCTCGAAATTGCAGATCAAAGCCTGTCACAGAACTGAGGTTGGATAACCAGCTCGATAAAGGTGTTATATCTCAAATTCCTCGATACAACACCTTTTTGTCAACAGTTTACTACAACAACAGGTCAAATTTGTTACATGCGCACAACATTGCTCTTAATCGGGCATTTTATTACAGTTTTATTTACCAAGCATTAAATGACACGAAGGACCTCGATAAACAACCTGGATTTGAGTACATCTATTTTTCACTAGCCGCCGATGTTAGCGGTGGTGTTGGAATGATTAATGGCAGCGGGATATTTTTTGATAACAACTGCTCCTATGCTAATTGGTACACTATACTTCGTCTTAATGAGACTTTACCTTTATTTGCTCCGAAAGCTTGGCGCGCTGACGACTACAACGAGCCAACAAACTGGCTTCGTGAACCTACCAATAGCACTATTGACATTGTTGATTTGGGATCCGGACGAGGACGAAATTACACTCTTCCAACTTATAAGAACAATCCTTGGTATGATTTATGGTTACCCGACTTGACGAGTAAGGCAGATACACTAAGGAAATATACCTACAATGTGCGTATTCAACAGAATGAAAAATATGAATACGTCTCTAGTTTCTTTGGTCCGCCTCAACCCGGAAGCCAAGAAAAAGTTTATCTCCCTGTGCTCTTCACTGATCCCTATTTTGATTGTGGCCGCTCAAACAAATGGATTGTCAGTGCCACTGCGCCCGTTGTCGAATTCATGCCTCGCTATTCCAATTTTACTCATTTAAGAAGAGCAAGGTAAGTAATTGTTGCTTTTTGTTCTTTATCTTCTAATAATGAACGCTTTGGTTAAAAAAAAAAAACTAAGATATTACTTTTATTTTCGAAGTTATCAAAATTTTGTTTAAAATATTCATATCGAGAATAATACAAATTTGAAGACTAAAGAAGAGGGAGCGTAGTTAATATGGAAAATTATTAGCACCATTTTTTTTTTTTTTTTTAACGAAAGTGTACGTTAGGATTACTAGTAACGTTTTACAACAAATGGATACATAAAATTACTTTATTGAATCTTTTTACGTGTGTGTTATATGGCATATTTGTATATTCAATATTTCACTGAATTTACTTACTTAAGAAGCTATTTCTCGGTTCCCATACCACCATTATTTGCATTGGGTACGGACGGGCTATGAATTTTTGGGGGTAAAATTTATTTTAGGGTAGGTTTATTTCTGAGCCAAATATATTTGAGCATTAATTAAACCTTCATAGCGTAATAAATTGTTATTTTAAAGTAGGTTTCAATATTTGTTACCACATGAAACTACTTACTTAAAATTTCAGTAATGCTTGTGAAAGTTGCTGTTTTACATAAAACGTATTTAAAAACGTATAGCATTTTTTGTATGTGATGCTTCGAAATGAATTATTTCTAAGACCTCTTAAGGAAAGATTATATATATTTTTTTTCATAATTTGTTTTTGTAGTTTAAATTTGATTAGTTTGACACGTTCTTGGAGATATAATAATAATACAATTGACTATGGAATAAGCCACGAACTTCGTAACAAAAAAAACCCCCAAAAACGTATTTTAGATAATTGAAAATGTCTTTGAAATTAAATTTTGGGTTTATTTTAAAAAAGCTCAATCCATAATAAAAGAAATTTCTGCATGTAAATAAAATTTTAGGCATTTTTAAAAAAAACACCGCTATTAAAAACGTACGTAAAACAAAAAAATTAAAAATCCAGTATTTGTCGTAGGGGTGTTTCAAAAGTAGATTAGTAAATTTACGGATTAATTTTATTAACTGAATTACTTTTTGCTTAAAACAATGAAAATGACGTTAATCAGTCATAGTTGAAGTATGTTTCTAATTTTATCCCTAACTTCAAAAACACGTGAAAAATTGAAGGAATACAGGTCAAAATGGTGTTTTTTGGGTAATTTGCAGTTCAAAACCCGCGCTCAGTTTCTAATTAAAATTTCCCAAATAGTTGTATTTAGGTGTAAATTTACATGCTTAATTCGAAAATAACAAAGAAATTTTGCTAAAATCTACTTTTTTGGAGTTATCGACAATAAGATTTCGGACTCATTCGCATCCCCCATTACTGGCGTTGTTTACATTCAAATCGGAGTACTTATGCGGGGAATTTTACTTAGTTAACGGCCTTTTTTCTGATCTAACTCGTTTCAGTTACTACGCATGGGTAGTGGTTAGGGTTTTTGGTAAATTTGTTTAAGTTATTAAGTTTTGTTTTTTTTTATTTTATAATAAAACATACTAATACATATTGTAATACTAATTAAATCTTATTTTAAGATACTTAATAATCATGCTTCGTAAAGTTCCAAATTTAATTAAAAAAATTGAAGCTTAAATTTCCTTTCTAGCGTTTTTTTTATTTTGTAAATAAGCATGTTCTTTTTAAATTTCGCGCAAAGTTTGCGCATTGCGTGAGTAAGACGAGTGAAGCTTCGGCGCAAACGTATGTAAATAACGCCAGTAATGGCTGCCGTGATGTAGCCGCGACGCGAATGAGTGCGAACTTTTATTGTTGATAACTCCAAAATTGTAGATTTTATCAACATTTCTTTGTTATTTTCGAATAAAGCATGTAAGTTTACGCCTAAATGTAACTATTCGGGAATTTTTTATTAGAAACTGAGCGTGAGTCTTGAACTGCAAATAACCAGTTACTTTTTTAATTATTTTATGAAACTTAGAATAAATTAATAAGTAAAGTATAAAAAAGAAATTAAAAACTTAAATTTGCTTTTTAAGCCCCGCGCTAAATATTTATTAAAATTTTCACAATTCGTTATATTTCCGAGTAAATGTACAAACTGAACGCGAAATAACAATTAAATTTTGAAAACCTACCGTTTAGGTATCGACAATAAAAGTTCTGTCGCATTCAGCCTTGTTTAAGTACATTCACTGCGGAACATTTTGCGCGGAAGCTTAGTTAAGTGCTTTTTTTATTGCTGTTAACTGATCATACTCTTGTAGCGGGCACTCCGTGCGGCCCCGTATCACAGAAAGGGGTGAACGAGGTCACAATGACCGCCTCCGAGAATCTAGGGAGAAATCACTGTCTTGTGACGCGGGAGACCAGCAAGAGAAATTGGCTAAGCTAACCGAAAAGTCTCTATAATAAAATACTACGAGGTTAGCTAAAGATAACTATGGTCTACAAATGACTAGTAATATATTACAACTAGGTTTGTAATATAGCCTAACTAAAAAGGGGATTTGCTAGTCCCTCCAACGTGTTAACAGTGTGTAAGGAGCATGAATGAGAGGTCAAGGTCGAAATGACCTGTTCCTCTGCCAGTTCAAGGATAGAAGGAGGAGGTAACTCCGACACTCTAAATTATTGCGCACTTAAGCTGTGTCGGAAAGCGATGACAAGGCCAGTAATGGCCAACAGCTGAGCGCGACTGAGTCCAAACTTTTATTGTCGATAACTCAAAAAGGTAGGTTTTATCAAAATTTAATTGTTATCCTGAGTTCAGTATGTACATTTACACGGAAATATGATGATTTGGAAATATTTTAATAGATTCTTAGTGCGGGACTTAAAAAGCAAATTTACCATTAAAAGTCGTGAAATGTTATTTTTGTGTTTAATTCATTGTTTTTAGTTTTTATTATTTTCTTACCTGTTTGATATTGTAAAATATTTGCATTGAATGAGTTATTGCTCAGAATTTAAGACTTCTGTTACTCTTCTGATAGGCAAGAGTAGTAAAGAAAGTAGTTCAGAATTATTTCTTTATTGAACTTCTGCACAAAAATAATCTAACAGTGAAGAAAAATTTAAAATAATAAAAGAACAAGAATTAAGACAAGATAATGACTGACATTGCATTTAAATGTTTTAAGATCAAAGTTAAGCAAGAAACCAGAAGAGTTCCACAAGTGAAAAGTGTGATAGAAAAATCGTATGGCTACATCTAGCCAGTTCAACTGTAAAATTATCACAAATTTAGTACTGTCTAGGTAACATAGAGGAAAATTCATCAGAACAATTACTAGGCAGAGGGAAACTACTTTATGATGGTGGGAAAGTGACTGAAGGCAAAATGTCAGGGCCAATAACATTGTAGATTCTTTGGATTTTATTAAGAATCTCTAAATAATAAGCAGAAGCACCAGACCATATGTGGCAGTAATATTCAAAGCATGGATGAATGGTAGACTTATGAATGTGGAGGGAAAAATTGTCTAGCACAGCATAGTGAGCCAACTTTCCTAGCAGCAGACATAGCAGCTGAGTAAATATAATCTTTCCACTTCATGTCAATGGAAAAATGTTAACCTGAGAAGGTGCAATGAGTCACTCATGTGGTGATTAGCATCAATCATTCTCATGGAAGGCAGAAAGGGGTCTCTCAGATGATTGATAGAGCAGTTTCATTTTAGAGGCATTAGAATTAACAAGCCGTTCCCTACCCAAGTTAACAGTAGATTGTTGGTCATTTTTTAGATCTGCTACCAATTGCACCTTATCAAACTGATCAGATTTACTATTAAGACAGGAGTAAATAGTCATCAGCATAGATACGGAGTTGAGAACTGATGCCATCAGGAAGGTCATTGATGAAAATTAGGAATAGTGTAGATCCAAGGATAGAACCCCAGGAGACAGCTGCAGAAAGATCTAGAGAAGTAACCATTCAGGACAACTTTCACTTGATGATTTGATTTCAAAAAAATTGTCTAGAAATCCCATAACTTTTCAATTTGTGAAGAAGACCAGTATGCCAAACCCTGTCATATGCTTTTGAGATGTCCAAAGCAACAGCATAAGCTTCACTATACTTAACTAAAACTTGATAGACTTTTTATCTGGAAGAAGCCCCTTGGTGTTTAACCAATTCAGAGTTGATGAGGGCCTCTTTGCCAAAAAGAGGTAGAAGGCCAACTAATAGGCTGATACTTGGCAGGATTAGATGGTTTGCCTGAGTTCTTAAAGACTTGATCTACTGAAGAGAATTTGCAAGAAACAGTCAGGAATTTATTGTAGAATTAAGAGAGAACAGGAGCACATTTCTTAAGGACTAGAGATGTCATCAGATCCATATGCTTTGTGCAGATCCAGTGTAGATATGATAGCAGAAACCACGGAAGGAGTTGTATGCATATCACTTAACAGGGACTCTGTTCTAAGGGGAAAGTCAGGTAAAGATATCCTAGAGGAGTCGAGAGTAGAATTAGATGAGAATTTACAAGCTAAATATTCTGCAGAAGATGCTAGCACTTCAAACTGAGTAAAGAGAGGATGAATGGAGGACTTACACTTATTTAGCACACTATTACAGAACCATAAGAATCAAATTTGTTAGATGCTTTGTTCTATCAGAAAACGAGGACATATTTAGAATTATTACTTGCAGTCACAAATAGGCATCTGTTTTGATCAGAATTGTCATGTTATAGCCTGAAAAAGTGATTCCTGTGGGCTATAGAGGCTAAACAGGCAGATGTAAACCATGAAGATTGTGGTCTCACCTGGTATTATCAAAAATTTGAAACAAATGTTTTATTAAATTATGTAAGCACTCTCAGAAAAATTTCATAATCCTCCCCCCCACACACACACAAGTACACACAAAATATGAAAAATGGGGTAGTGAAACTACCTCCCTGCCCCAATATTTCCACTAAACTTTCTATAAATAAAAAAAAAAAATAACCATGTGGATTAATCTTCTCTTAACCACCTTCAGTAAAGAATCAATCCTACTTTTTTGAGGAAGTAAAAATGTCTATCAGCAA